TTCATTGCATCTGTATCTTTGGGGTAAATCCCCAGCAGTGCGATTGCTGGGTCGTAGGGCAGCTCTATTTTTAACTCTTTGAGGAACCTCCACACAGTTTTCCAGAGTGGCTGCACCAGTTCACATTCCCACCAACAGTGCAGGAGGTTTCCCCTTTCTCCACATCCTCTCCAACATTTGTGGTTTCCTGCCTTGTTAATTTTCCCCATTCTCACTGGTGTGAGGTGGTATCTCATTGTGGTTTTGATTCGTATTTCCCTGATGGCAAGTGATGCGGAGCATTTTCTCATGTGCTTGTTGGCCATGTCCATGTCTTCCTCTGTGAGATTTCTGTTCATGTCTTTTGCTCATTTCATGATTGGATTGTTTGTTTCTTTGGTGTTGAGTTTAATAAGTTCTTTATAGATCTTGGAAACTAGCCCTTTATCTGATACATCATTTGCAAATATCTTCTCCCATTCTGTAGGTTGTCTTTGAGTTTTGTTGACTGTATCCTTTGCTGTGCAAAAGCTTCTTATCTTGAAGTCCCAATAGTTCATTTTTGCTTTTGTTTCTCTTGCCTTCATAGATGAATCTTCCAAGAAGTTACTGTGGCCAAGTTCAAAAAGGGTGTTGCCTGTGTTCTCCTCTAGGATTTTGATGGAATCTTGTCTCACATTAAGATCTTTCATCCATTTTGAGTTTATCTTTGTGTCTGGTGCAAGAGAGTGGTCTAGTTTCATTCTTCTGCATGTGGATGTCCAATTTTCCCAGCACCATTTATTGAAGAGACTGTCTTTCTTCCAGTGGATAGTCTTTCCTCCTTTGTCGAATATTAGTTGACCATAAAGTTGAAGGTCCCACGTGGCCACTTCAGACTTTCTGAGGTACTAGACAAGGTCCAAACATTTCAGACTTTGTGGGCTATAAGGTCTCCACTGCAACTGCCAAATCCTGCTGTTGCCAACATGAGAGCAGCCACAGTCCAAAGAAGCAAATCGGTGTGACTGTTTCAATGAATCTTTATTTAGAAAACCAGGTGGCAGGCTACATTTTGTCCCCAGGTTGTCGTTTGCCAGCAACCATATTAGAGGAAGAGGCAGAAAAGTAGATTATTGTTTTGGGTGGGGTTAAGACCCTGGTTATGAAGAGAAACAGGTTTGCTACTATATAGCAGGGCTGGAAGCAATATGATTAAAAACCCAGAATCCCCAAGATGTGTCCCGAATCAACATACCGCTGGACCAGTAGATGTGAGGGAGTGGGAAACGGGAGCCATTTCAGACCAGCAGGTCCTCCACAAGGTGAGATCCTTCTAGAACAAAGATCTGGTTCTCTTCCCTGGGAACACCAGCCAGCCTAGGAAATTACTGGTCCCAAGACCAGATGTGGTATGTGGAACTATAGCCCCCATCTCTATCCCTTTCTTGTTCTCAGGACTGAATTATCTCCTTTTCTTTATTTATTTCCCCCTTGAAGATGAGTGTGGTCATAATTTCTGTCTTCTTTCTTTGCCCCTGATAATTGATAACGGTGTTTATCAAGCTTAAGTATAGGTCGGTGCCACCTGGGGAGCTGCTGAACTTCTGTCCACCATATAGGCCCTAAGACACATGATAGAAAGACAGGTTGCAGACAGAATGTGAGGAAAAATGGGCATGGCTTTGAGATGCAGGACTTGGAAAGCATCCTTAGTTGTGATGGCTGGACATGACGCAGGGTTGCCTCCTGCTGAGGAAGCAGTGTGCACACTTATGAGTGTACATAGGGTGAGTGGATGGAATTCCATGAGGTGTCTTCGTATAAAGGGAGGCTGCGCATGCCCACGCATGCCAGGCACTGGGAGAGTAAAATGTTAGAGCTGCCTATTGGGTTGCCAGCTGGGCTCTTCTCTGGGAAACCTCCTGACCATATTCTGGGGAGTGGGGGCTCATTGGTCATTCTGCTCTTGCTCCAGGATCTGCCTTCTTCCCCCACAACCGATTGGTTCAGAGACCCTAACTGGGCTAATCAGATAGCCTATAATGACAAGTGGAGAGCATGGCAAGTGGAGAGATGCAGAGACTAGGAATTCTCTGGATCTCATGGAAAGATCCATGAATTCTTGCTGCCAAGGCCCACAGAGCCAGCCCGGTTCCCTCCCTTCCTGAGTCCTGAGCAGTCAGCTCTTCCCCGAATTCTATAAATACCCCCCAAATCCTTCCAATAAGTTGTCTTCCTTATTTAAAAAAAAAGTGGTATGAAAGTCAAGGATGGGGACCGAAACTGGATTCAGAAACGAGGCTGAAGATGCACCCTCTACGCCCCTTGTACAAAGGCAGCTCTGAGACTTCCAGTGGGCAACAGAGCTGTTACATGATCAGTGTCCATTACAAACAAAACAACCCAAGTGCTCATAAGCTCAGCTATTCTTGGTACCAATACTGGACAGGAAATGTCTCCCAGGGGCCTCATGGAATGAACAATCCCTTTGTGATTCTCTTCCAATGGACACAGAGGGTTTCGTGGGCTGTTCCTCAGAAAGACCCTCCATGCACACTAATGAATGACATTTCTCTCAGGCTTGATCTTATGAAATCAGTACTGAGGAGAAAGACAGAGTCTGGGTACCTATATCCAGGAAGTGATTCAAGTATGAGGAAAAGCAACAGACTGCATACCCCCCTGAGCAAGTCTCCTGCGAGCACACTTGAAGACCAAGTGGCAAGGTGCCCAGAGGATCCTCCCAGTGAAGCAGGGCACCCTCCCCTTCATTAATGACAGGGCTGGCAGGGTTGGCTTCCATGTGAAGAAACCCAAGGGCCCAAGAAGGAACCCAAGGGCTTCCATGTGAAGAAACCAAGGGCTCAGTGGTTCAAGGGCAGTAGCACTGTCAGTTGTCCTGGGACCAGGCCGACTCTGGTCTGAACATCCCCTCCCGGAGAGCTTCTGTGGAGAAGCCAACACCCACCCCCATCTAATCAATGCTTGTCTTCATGAGCAGCCACAGCCAATCAGAGCTTCCTGAGCTCTGTCTACAGCTGCCTAGCCAGATGGTAGAGAGGAGCCTTGACAAGCTATGCCTACTCCATAGCATCTTAGAAGACAGACCTTTGAAACAGTACTTTCTGGCCAAGAACACTGAAGAACCTTTTAAAATGCCAAACAGAAAAAGGCAGCATGGGCTCGGGCTTCCCAGGGGGCTGAAACACTGGTCCATCTTCAGTACCCAACACCCCACCCTCCTAGATCCCGTATCTTTACTGCTTTTTTCTACCTTCAGAAACGACCCTGGTCTTCACAGGCTGGCCATTCTACACCCACAAATCCTCTCCATCCCCAGCCCACAGTGTGAACTGTACATCTTGGCTTTTCCTATACAACCTGTGTCCTGGCCTGGATAGTGTCCCCCAAAGTCATGCCTTTCCAGGAGCCTCAGAATGTGACCTTTTTGAAAAGAGGGACATTGCAGATGTGATTCATTATGATGAGATGAGCTCATTCTAGAGTAGGACGTGCTGTTAATCCCAGATTTATCTCTTATAAGAAGAGGAGCACAGATACAAGAAGGAAAGATGGCATGTGATGACACAGGGAGAGACAGGGATTGGAGTGATGCTTCTATAAGCCAAGGGGTACTGGGGATTGCTGGCGACACCAGAAGCCAAGAGGAAGATATGGAATGGGGATTCTTCCCTAGACCCTGCAGAAGGAGCACTATCTTGATCTTAGACTTCTGGCCTCCAGAAACGTAAGGGTGTAAATTTCTGTTATTCAAACCACGCAGTTGCTATGGCAGCCCCAGAAGGCTAACACAACGTAGTTCTGTTATAACCAACACAGGCATGAGCCACCACTGAAGAAACAAGACACCCTGATGTAGATCTGTCTGACATTCCCTCCTCTTAGGGGATATTTGAGAATTTTGGGATCTCTGTCAAGGGAGCTGGGGATGCTCTCTAGAGCATTAGGACATCAGCACCAGGACACACACCATCCTCCTAGGCTTTGTATACATGGTTCCCAACTGTATGTCACTCAGTAATGTCTGCTAGAGGGCCACTCTGTCATATGACATTTGTGCATTTACGCTTAGGTCCGGTCACTGGTGGAGATGACTTTAGAGGTACTGTCAACAATACCCGCCCCCCCCCCCCCCGCAGTCTCCATAGGTCATGGATGCTGGATTTATACTCGGGCCCTGACCATGCAGATCAGGTGATGCTCTAACCTGCAGGTCCTGAGTGTAAATGCAATCTGGAAAGAAAGGAAGACTACCTGGAACCTGTGATGCCCACGGGCAAGTTTGTTTTCCAAGTCACTGCAGTACCAAGTAGGAGTTTTCTACGTCACCAGACAGAAACAGAAGGCATGGGGAGATGCCCTAAGACATGTGGAAGGAGAAAATAAACTCCATCTACTCTATGGCTTGCCTGTTATACTTCCAGATATGATCAACCATGCTCAACTGAGAATTTTATATGATTTATCCTTAGATCACAGTTAGTCATGAGCCTAAAGAACTCTCAAACACATACTTCCTTTTCCTTGTTTCTCTAGTAAACCAACCCCAGCTGCCCAGCGCCCAAAACAGAAAGTCAGGATCTGTCAGAAACAGGTACATTCAAACCCCGCAAAACCAAGTCACAGGCAGTGAGGGCCACATCTGGCAGAGCGAACCAAGGTCTGGGCCCTCTGGCCCCGGGTATGTGGCAAAGCTTAGCTTGCTGCTGCTACTGATTCCAGGGTAGGCTATGGGCCAAGGTCTCATGTGGCTGTCCTTACAAGCCACACTGCAAGTATTGGGAGGTTTGCAGTTACCCCCACACCGATGGCTTAGTGTAGGATGCAAGATATAGGTGGAAACTGACAATGTTCTGGAAAGAGAACTGTCCTTGGAGGACACACAGGCCATATTTACTCAACACCAAGTCACCGACAGCGACCTGGGTGGCCTGGGCACCCTGTAAATGGCACTGTGGCAAACTGGCTCTAGGGAGGTCCCCCAGCACCCACCTGAAACCATAGCATCAATGTCTTACTTTTTCTGGAGCGAGAGAAGAACCTGATGCCCCCCGGTGAGGTAGACGGGTTGGAGTTGGGGGAAGATTCTTTGGAGGAGGAGCGAAAGATCCCACTGAAGCTCATGCGGCGTGGGGAGCGGGGTGGAGACTCCTGGTAGGAGAATGGGAACACGGTTTTGGGAGAGCCAGGGCTGGTCTTGGGCCTCACAGGAGCAGACACGGGGCTGGAGGGTCGGTGCTGGGGGCCTCTGGAGAAGAACCCTTTGGAGGGGCTGCCCGAGCTGCAGGGGCTGTCCACCTGGGGAGAGACAGACAAACGGATGGGTCACTCTGAGCACAGGCACACAGACCTCGGCCCTGAACTGGATCTTTCCCTCCCATAGCTGTTGCTCCCAATGTCCTCTATCACCAGGCTGCTCCTCCCAGGCACCCTGCACCAGAAACAGCCCTGAGCTCTTATACAAACATAGGTGGCCACCCCGTGGTCTGGAGGAAAGCACCTGACCCAAGGGTGGCCCATCTACAGGCTTGTCGGCCCCACCCAGAGGTCTACTGACATATATCCGGCTCTCTAGAATAGGTTCCTGGAGAGAAGGGCAGGACGGGAAAGGCAGCAAAATGGCTCAAGACAATGCACCTTCCCCTTTATCCTATCTGTGGGTCTGTCCTCTGGCCTTTATGTCCTAAAACCTCACATTTGTCTTTCTCGAGGTCTGACTACACTGGCGTGATGTTCTCTTGGCCCTCATTGAAGGAAGAAACTGGTATCTCTATGATCTGAAACATGGCGGGCTTGGGGCTCCATCTGGAGGACAGCCTGGGGCTGGGAAGAATGAATTTTTCGCCTCCAAGCTGCTGTGGCATTGGGACGCCTGGGTTTGCTGACAGAGCTCAGGAAGAAAGTGAACAAGGCCAAAAACCTCTGAGGCACACTTCATTGATGACTTGACCCTGACGGTTTGAGAAATGTCTGGACTCTGTCCATAACTTCAAGCCGAGGCACACAGCTCACAGACTTTGAGGAGTATCAAATGCACCCTGCTGGTGGGCTCAGGGGCTGGCACCTGCAGCCTGAGTGCATGGGTGTGACCCCAGCTCACCCTTCACTGGGCCATCCTGAGTTACTTAGTATCATTGTGCCTCAGTTTCCTTATCTGTAAGACCAGGCATCGTGCCCACCCCTGATGTTTGGGAACCACACTCTGCACATTCAGCTGCTGCTGGGTCTGTGGCAAACTTGACACAAGGGAGCCAGAAGGACCTCAGGGCCTACCTGGTCCCACAGTAGGGAAGTACTGTGGCTTGTCCACAGGGCTCATGGGGCAGGAAACCATCAGCACACTGAGACCCTGGGCGCCACACGGCAGGTGGCCACAGGTGCACTAAGCTAGGTGAGTATACTCGCCCAGAGGCAGCATCTGTGCTGCTCTGGCCTCTGTCCACACGGGGCGCCTCCTGGGACCCAGGGCCCCTGCGAGCTCTCCCACCACCAGAGGGCATCCCAAACTGGGCTTGCGGCTCCTTACAGGAGGCTGTGCCCTTGTGGAGACCCCCTCTGCTGAAGGGTGGCCATAGCGGGGTGCACAGGCTGGCTCCCTGCTGGGCCCTCCAGTGAGTGAGTTTTCAAGCCAGGCACAGTGCACTGCAACAGCTACATAACGCAAGCAAGTTTCCCTATAGACAGGATAAGCTTTTCTTTACCCATTTAATAGGAAAAGCATTTAATCCTCTGATCCCCGTCTTCAGAGGTTTTGGTCTTGCCACTATCCACCCCCTACCTATAGGACTCAGGCTTTCTGGGATTTTTCTGAACCCCAAGGAGAAGCTCTCCGGGTGATAGATGTGCCTGTGGACATGGGGGGTGCGAGTGAGGGGAGGAACCTATAACAGGGTGGTACAAGCAAGGAGTCTGGACACAGAGATGGGAGTTTGAATCCTAGCTCATTTCCAGCAGTGTAGACAAGTGACTTAAGCTTCAGTGTCCTCGTGCATCCAGTGGGGATCGTAGGCCAGCTCACGGGGTATGTAGCTGCTGGGGTCCATAGCAGGGAAACATCTGGCACAATCCCTGGCACACAGGAAGTACCCTGTGCATATCTGATCCACACTCCTTGTCACGAATTTGGAATGAGTAGTTGCTTGATATTTGTGGCACATCAGAGAGGCAGGGCCGAGTTTCGGAGGGACACAGCACGTGGTATAAGAACTTCACTCTTCTTTGAGGCTTTTAGCAAGGGAACGGCACAGTCAGACCTGCTCAGGGCAGACCATCTGGCAGCCTCTCACCATCACTTGCTGTGCGCCACTAGCCTGAAGCCAGGAGGAGGTGCCAGCTGGGGGCATGGTGAAGGTAGCAAACCAGTAGGTGGTGGCAGGGGACCTCAGGGCCCATGGCCTGAACCCTTCTACTGTTATCCCTCCAGAGAAGAGTAGCACAAATAGCCAGGAGGGGGAGCAGCCTGTTGGACGTGAGATGGAGTCAAGGTCAAGTCTGAGGACAGAGGCGGAGAGTCATGTTTAGGAATTACTGGCGAGGCTAACCCTGCAGGTGACCCCCACTTTGGCCACGCTGTGCAGGGTGCTGGGAGCTCTGTGGGGAGAAGGCAGAAGTGCTGAGCAAGTGCTGGTGTTCGAGTCGAGTCTGGGGCAGGGTGGGGACCCTGATGCAGGTACGGCACCACATGGCTGCCAGGAGCCATGTGCAGATGAAGAAAGGGCAAAACACTGCGTCCCACGGGGGCCCGGAGTCAGAAAAGGAGACCCTGAGATCTGATGGGCCTTGGACAGGCTGATGGGTGGAGACTGATGGGCAAAGGCTGATGGGCAGAGGGCACCCAGAGCCCAAGAAGGAGACAGAACAGGAAGCACAGACAGAAAGCCATTTTCTCGGGCCACCACAGATAGGTGCAACCAAATGCCACCACCACAGAGGCCCTTGAGTGCTGTTTTGAACTTCATTTGCTGGGATTCCATTCTGGTCTGAGGATTCCAGGCCAACTGAGTTAGGCACTGAGGAAGGAACCCACACAAAGCAGACCTTTCCCCAAAAAGGCCAAACAATGGTGGACACAGCCTGGCCCAGCCTTCTCCCGTGGGGGACCATGAGAGCCTGAGCCTCCTGGGCAGTGGGGAGACAAAATGGCCAAGCACACCCACCACCTGCTCCCTGCCCACTCGGTGGGGGTGACGCAGACCCAGGTGCCAAGAGAAGCTGCTCAGCCTGTGAGCAATTGTGCAATAAAACAAATCTCTGATAAATGTTATTGGATCATTCCCTGTGTTTGGATGCACAAAAGGGCCCAGTGGCCCCCAAGTGTATGCTGGCTGTGCAGGAGCTAATGGGGGGCAGGCAGTTGGGTCATCTGCTGGGAGAGCAGCTGAGGCAAAGGCCAGGCTGCCTGGTGCTCAGAAGCCCTGAGGCCACACTGGCTGACCCATAGTGGCTGCCATGGTGTCGAACGATTGGGAGATCCCAGCAGGGACCTTCCCCCAGATGCGGGCCTGGGAACTGCACACCACAACTATGCAGCATCAAGGGGACCAGACGCTCCTCACAGAGAAACAGTATGTGACAAAGAACGGCCATCCCAGGGTGCAGGGTGGGCTCAGATGGGGGTAAAGTGAGGGGGCCTGGGAGATGGTACGAACTGGTATTATAGAACACCAGGCGGGTGGCCTGGAGCAGCGAGGACCACACGGGAAGGGGATCCTCACCAGTCAGGTGCAGCCATCCATCTAATAACACCTGGGCTCCCCAGATGCAGAGGCGGCTGCCAAGCTTCCAACTGTTCCCACGCTTCTCCGCCCATGCCCCCCCTTGGGCCACCCACATCACATCAGCAGAAAGCACTGGCTGTCAGGAGCCTAACCCAAACCCCCCTTCACAGGGGTGTTTACGTTTTGATCTGGATTCTGGAGATCAAGGGGTGGAACCTGGCAGGGGAAGAGGCAGTGTGGAAATTCTTCATGGGAGGAGCCTAGCTCTGCCTCTCAAAAGATCAGCCTCGTGTAGAGATAATTCAAAGTTGCTGGAGTTTAATGGAAAGGAAGGTGGCCAAGGTTCAAGGGCATGGAGGAGGGAATACCTGCCCCCTGGGGATGGGGTGGGGTTGGGAGTGGGGAGGCAAAGGGAGGCCACGGGGCAACAGGCTCAGTGGGAATGCCAGGCAACCCTGCTCTGTCCCCACGCATCCTGTACGGCTCAGTCCCATCCCCTTGCATCCGGCACAGCTCCCTCCTATCCCCTTGCACCCTGCACGGCCCCCTCCAGGCCCGGGCTCTAGGCTGTGTCAGGCGCTAGGATGGGGAGAAACACCTTCCCAGCCAAGACTGGTCCCTCAGTCTCCCGTGCCATCAGCCAGACCCTCTGGAAGCACTCGCAGCCACCTTGGGGGTTCACACCCCCCTCTCCAGTGAGAACACAGGCAGGGGAGGCCTGCCTCCCAGACGTCACCATCACCAATGGCCCACAGTGTTCACGGCCCACAGTGTTCACGGCCCGCAGCGTTCCGAGGACGCACGGGGGGGGGGGGGGGTGCAGGGAAGCCTGTGGTCCCCTTCCACTCAGAAGTCATGCATTTGTGACAGGGACCTTGCTCTGAGACCCTCTGGGAGCCCCCAAAGTGGGGGCTTGTGGGGCTGGACGAGTCTAGGTCCTCACCATGGGTCTTTACCACGTTCACCACCTTAGGTTTTTGGTTGAAGGAAGGGCTTCTCGGAGTCAGACCGTCAGAAGCAGACGGCCTGTGAGGACAAGGAGGAGGAGGGGGAGCCCACCCCGCAGGCGCAGACCCTGCCCACTGGTCTGTGGAGCTCTGTGGCTACTTCCTGAGAGTGTCTTCTGGGCGTCCCTTCAGGCTAGGCCTCAAGGACGGCTTATGAGGGCGCCCGTTCCTTCAGGACAGGGAGTGGAGGCCAGTGGAACCCCCAGGCCCAAACCAGTGTGTGGCCTTTGCTGTATGCAGTTCAGAGTGCTTTTCCCCCCGCGCTGGAGGCCTGCCCCAGCCCCTGCTGCAGGAGCCAGAGCCAGGGGATCACGTGGTTCTGCATCCCCTGTTCGGGGCACCTGGGGGCTCACCACCCCCCATGCCACCTCCCACCGGGGCTCAGGACCTGCCACTCCTCTCTCTGCACCCCCTCCCCCCTGTCTGCAGGCTGCCCTGACCTCCCCTTTCTCGCCATACCCACCAGTCCTCACGGGATCCACGCCCCTGGCTGCCTGACCCTGACACGGCCACCAGCCTTGCTGAGCCACAGGCTGACCAGTGGCAGGAGGAGGTGGTGAGCTAAGGAGAGGCAAGGAAAAGTGGCTGGCGACCAGAAGGGAGGAAGGATTGGACGGGGCAGGGGGGCGGGCAGAAGGAGCTCCTGTCCAGGATGGGACAAGCCAAAAGCCACAGTCTCCAAACCTCCCATTTACTCATCCTTTCAGCCTCTTCTCTTGGCTTATTGTTGATCTTCCTCATCACCTCTGCCTCCTCTGGGGAGCCTGGGTGGCCATGGCTGAACCCAGATGGAGGAGAGAAGGGAGCAAAGCCCAAGAGGCTCTCAAATTAGACACCCGCAGGTACAAGGGGCATGGCCATGTGAGGGGTGCACCAGTCGGTAAGCAGGTGGGAGTGCAAGTGGGAGCACAAGTGGGAGCATAGAAGGATGAGGAGAGAACACAAGCAGATGAGCAGGTGGGAGTATAGGCAGATGGGCAGGTGGGAGCACAGGTGGATGGGCAGGTGGGAGCACAGGAAGAAGAGGTGGGAGCACAGATGAGGGAGAACCGTGGATGCAGATGGGAGCACAAGAGGATGAGGTGGGAGCACAGGAGGATGAGGGGAGAACACAGGTGGATGAGGGGAGAGCACAGGTGGATGAGCAGGTGGGAGCACAGGAGGATGAGGTGGGAACACAGGAGAATGAGGGGAGAACACAGGTGGATGAGCAGGTGGGAGCACAAGAGGATGAGGTGGGTAGACATTTGTCCTGGGTTCTCACCGAGGGAACCTTGCTCAGTGGCACCTCAGGTGAGCTGTGAGAAGCTGTGAGAAAGGCGGCCCTACCTTACGGGAAGAATGCTTTTCTGAGCTCTCCAGGTCTCCATCCAGGAGTGGCATGGCAAAGGAACTCAGGTCCTAGGATGAAGAGACAGCACATGGTCAACAGAGCAGCCCTCAGGTGCCCATCCAGCCTCATCCAGGGACAGCACTGGCTCCATGCACATACCACACCCCCATCTTGAGTCCCCCATAAACCTCGGCCACCAGGGAGAGGTGTGGATGCAAGGGGAGTAAAAGGAGGGGTGACAACATGCTGGCTTCCTCAAAGTCCCTGACCACGCTCACATTCCCTTTCAGAACTTGAGGCGACTGCCCCTCATCACCCTGGGGAAGGAGCAAGGAGAAGAAGTGGGACTGGAGGCAGGAGGGAAGGCGCCCTAGCAGGAAAGCAGGAGTGGAGGGCAAGCCTTCACAGCACCCTGGGAGAGCTGGTGGGCAGGACTTCATCTTGTGGCACAGAATATGGGTCCCTGGAGGAAGCAGTCCAGGTAGCATATCTTCCTGGTGAGGGGATGATGGGGGCCTCATGGGGAGGAGCGCCTGGCTGGTGGCTGGTATGGAATGGTCAGTGGGGCTGTGTGACACAGGGGCCTCAGCTCTGCTCCTCCTTCCCCCTGGTCTCACCTGGTGACCCCCTCCACACCCCAGAGAGGAGCCCCACCAGGGTAGACTGGGAAGTATACCAGGGGAACTTGACTGAGTCCTTAACCTTTCTTCTTTTCCTTTTTTATTGTGGTAAAATACCCATAACATAAAACTTAACCATTTTAGCCATTTTAAGTACAGTTTAGTGGTGTCAGGTACACTCACACTGTGCCACCATCACCGTCTGCCTCCAGAACTTTTTTACCTTACAAAACAGAAACTCTGTCCCATGAGACAACCCCACCCCCTTCCCCCAGAGCCTGACACCCATCATCCTGCCTTCTATCTCTACAGATATGACAAGGTCAGGACTTTGTCTGAGTGGAACCACAGGGTGTTTGCCTTTTTTGTGATTGGAATATTTTTACTTAAGCATTAATGTCAATGTTCCTCCACATTGTGGCCTATGTCAGACTTTCTTTCCTTTTAAAAGTGAATAATACTCCGTTGTATGGATGTACCACAATTTGCTTACCCATTCAACCATCAGGCAACACCTCGGTTGCTTCTACCTTTCAGCTGTTGTGAATAACGCTGCCGTCCGTGAACACAAGTGTTGTGTCTCCCCGCAACTGCCCAAATGCACAGACTGAAGCTGTAACTCCCAGAACCTCAGAATGTGACTGTGTTTGGAGATAGGGTCTTGAAAGTGGTAATTAAGTTAAAATAAGGTCATATGGGTGGGCCCTGATCCCAGTGTGGCTATTGGCCTTGTAAGAAGAGATTAGGACACAGACACAAATGAAAGGCCATGTGGAGACACAGACAGAAGATGGCCATCGACGGGGCAGGGAGAGTCTCAGAAGACAACAACCCTGCCGACCCCTTGATTTTGGACTTCCAGCCTCCAGAACTGTGAGAAAAAAGAAAGCCACCCAGTCCTGGCATACTCTGTTATGGCAGCCCGAACTGTGTATTCTATTGAATACAATAGATATATAAATACCTCATTGAGATCCTACTTGCAGTTCTTTTGGGTAAACACCCAGAAGTGGGGTTGCTGGATCACACAGTAATTCAATTTTAATATTTCTGAGGAACCGCCAGCCTGTTCTCCATAGCAGGGGCCCCACTTTGCATCCCCACCAACAGTGAACGAGCATTCTGATTTCTCCACATCCTCACCAATCCTTGCTGCTGTCTGGATTTAGTTTTGTTTTTATATTAACCATCTTAACAGGTGTCAGGTGATATCTCATTGTGGTTTGGATCTGAGTTTCCCTAATGCTTGGTCATGTTGAGCATCTGTTCAGGTGCTTTTGGCAACTGGTGTATCTTCGGAAAATTGTTCAAGAAGTCCTTTGACGATTTTTCAACCGCGCTGTTTGCTGTCGATACTGTAGGTGTTCTTTCTATATTCTGGACACTAACCTTCTATCAGATGTATGATTTGCAAATATTTTCTCCCATTCTGTAGGTTGCCTTTCATTCTATTGACATGTCCTTTGATGCACAGAAGCTATTAATTTTGAGGTAATCTATTTCTACTTTGTTGCAGGTGCTTTTGGTGTTATAATCAAGGCTTCATTGCCAAATCCAATGTCATGAAGCTCTTCCCTCATGCTGTCTTCTAAGACTTTCTAGTTTCTGCTCTTATATGTAGGTCTGTGACCTGTTCTGAGTTTTTCTCTGTGGTATAAAATTAGGGCCCAACTTCATTCTTCCACATGCTGATCTTCAATGTTCCCAACACCATGCACTGAAAAGATTGTCTTTTCCCATTGAATGGTCTTGGCACTGTTGTCACAAAATCATCTCGCCACATTATGTGAGAGTTTATTTGGGGCTCTCTATTCCATTTCATTGGTCTATATGTCTGTCTTCATGCCAGCACCATTGTTTTAATTACTATATCTTTGTAATAAGTTTTGAAATCAGGGACCATGAAACATCTTACTTTGTTCTTTTTTCCCCAAAAAATTTGTTTTGGCTACTCAGGATTCCTGGTATTTGCATACGATCCATTTAGAACAGATTTTTCTATTCAAAAAAAAAAAAGATGCCATTGAGATTTTTGACAAGGATTGTGCTGAATCTGTAGATGACTTTGGATAGTATTGACATCTTGACAATATTGAATCTACTAATCCACACACACGAGATATCTCTCCTCTTATTTGTGTCTTCTGTAATTTCAATCAACAATGTTTTATAGCTCCCTGTGTACCCAGGCTTTCCTGTAACCCATTCTGCACCCACCCTCAACCCCTCTGCTGCTAGGATCCAGGTCCCTCTTCCCTCGGCTCTCTCAAGTTGCCTAATTGTTCTCCCAAGACTTTCAGACTCGTCACTTTCAGGCCATCTCCAAACCTCTGCTTGAAGAGTAATCCCTAGAAGTGTGGGTCTTATTCTATTACATCGGCCCCTCCCCTAATGCCCTGAGGACCTGGCAATGGCTTCCATACCTGGCCAAATGGAACACGCTGGTGAGATTCCAGACTTGGCCTCCTCTCATGTTTATGTCAGTGGTCTCTGACCCGGTTGCACCTGGGGAGCTTAGGCCCCAGCAAAGAAGGGAGTTGATAAGTCCACTGTGAGGTATGGGCATCTCCATCATTCTGCTGATGGCCCAGGTGGAGAGCCACCGACTACATACAGGTGACTGTTAGGAGGAGCCATAGCCAGGAGCTTTCCACCAGGCCCCATGAAGACCTCTGCAGCCTTATTTCTGATGTGCTTTGCACCCCCGGTGGACTGCTGTGGTTCTCGTGAACACGGTTGTGTCTTTGGACACAGGACACCATCTCCAGTCCTCACACACCTCAGTTCAAGGCCTGCTCTTTGGCAACCGTCCACCCCTCCCTGGAGAACAGACCCTGCTTTCCTTTAGCCCCCTCCAGGACACAGCCTGGTCCAAGGCCATGCATGAATGGCCAGTGCTGGCTGCCATCCTTCAGATGCTCCAAGCTCTTTGCCCTCCCGGGCTCTGCTGCATTTCCCCCAACCAGCAATCCTGGTTCACAGGTGAACTTCTCTGTGCCTAGCAAAGCCCAATTCACACACTATCTCTGGCAGGGACCCACCCTCAGGCAGAATTCATTATTCTCTTATCTTTAGACGAAGCTTAATCACACAACTGAAGACGGACCTTTATTACACAACTGTAGACGGACTTATCGTGCCCTATTAGGATCCTTTATCAGTCTGTTTCTCTAACTAGACTTTAAATTCATCAGGGGCGAGGGAGACCTATTTCTCTTACTGTTTGTTGTCTGCCTGCATTTGCCTGGCATGCAGCAGGCACGCAAAGCGTTCGAATCGGCACCCCTTCCCCTGGCCAGCCAGTGCGGGGGGCCATACAGGCTGTGCCAATGGGGCCCACATGGCTGCAGTTCACCAGGAAGTGAGGAGGAACCAGGTGTGGGTGCTTATCTCCCATTTTAATGAGTACATTCTTCTCTGGTTTCAAATAATCATTACCCTCGAACATTGGTGCAGTACAACAGTTTCCACACGTGACAGCCTTTTCACAAATACTCATTTGTTCCTCACAGAACCATCATGCTCTAGCAACCAAGGCCCCCAGCGGTGAAATGACTCAGGTTAGACAGCCTTGAAAGAGGAAAGATGGGGATGCTGGTCCAGCTCCTATCGCAGGAGGCCTGGAGCCCTGGGGTGACCATGAAGAGGGGCTGCAGCCAGTCCCCTGCAGCTCCTTCTGACCAGTGCGAGCTCATGAAAGCACCAAGCCATCCAACTACAGCTGTGGGCCTGCCTCCTAGCACTGCATGCCTGCTCGGTCGAGCATCCCTACAGGGAAGTCCCCTGGCATGAGCGGCGGGCTCCTCCACCCCACATTCCATGATTCTAATCTTGGCTCTCATCTCTCAGAGCTCACCAAGAAAGAGTGCACACCTTGGAGACCAGGTATGGGGAAATTTCTAATGGCAGCTATGGCCACAAGGCCATTAGCTGGTGGAATAATTGAGACCTGGCCTCCTAGCTCATTCCAGAAGGCCAAGGCTCCTGGAGCCTGGCCTGTTCATGTGATTTCTAAATATTAAACTCCCAGCAGAGCTCCGTGCTTTCCTTACTGATTTATCTTCTCCCTGCCACCCCTGAAACCTCCTTTTCTGGTCTGCCAGCCAGGCCAGTCCTAGCGCTGGGTGGGCATTTCGCTGGCCAATGTTGAGGCGCTAAGAGACATTTAAGACCTGGTTGCTGCCAAGAGACTCTGGGATTGTCATCAGCTGCACATACTCTATTTTAGACCTTGACCATGTGCTCTGGAGATGTATATCAGAATCTTTGGGGAAAGTTAATTTTCAGGATACGGGCCGCTAAAGTCACCTGTCAGGAAAACATAAGGATAAGAGAGAAAAGCCCTAAGAAAATTCCTGAGATGTGAGTGGACCTTACAAGTAGCCCATTTAGGGATCCCTGGGTGGTGCAGCGGTTTGGCGCCTGCCTTTGGCCTAGGGCGCGATCCT